AAAAAAAAAAAAAAAAAAAAAAAAAAAAAAAAAAAAAAGAAATTTGTTCAGTAACTGTAAAGATAAGGATCTGTCTGGTAAAACACAACGTTGCCCTCATCACTCACGTAGTGGTCTTGTCTAAAGCTGTTCACCAAATTCTTCACCAAATGCAACGGAATTGGCCCTGATTTCTTTGGCTCTCTATAGTACTTCCCAAGCACTCCCTTAGCTGCCTTTGTCTATAACAACACGGACACGTTCACGTCAACATCATTTACAAATCATGCCATTTCGAGCATCGAGTGAATGTCGTCAATTTAAGTTGCATCGGGTTCAATATTTATTGTGCCGATGTAGACATATGGTGATCTCAAACGAAATGTTAAACATAGCTAAACGGTTAAGATGATAAAGACGTACCGCTTCAACAAGGTGATAATGAGGAATCTGAGGGAACAAATGGTGGATAACATGAGTTCCAATATCATGATGGATGTTGTTGATCAATCCGTAATCTCGATCAACGGTTGTCAATCCGCCACGTAAATAAGTCCATTCCTGTCCGTTGATAATTAAACTAAATAAAATTTCAATTCTAGAGGAAAATAAGGAAATAAAAAAGACACCTTTTTTTACTTGCCTCTCCTCTGTACCATGGCAGCTTCTGTTCATAGCCATGGTGGTGAAGGTACGTCACGACGTCTAGCCATATCACGAAAACCTTCAAAAAGGAATAAAAATAATGATACCCAATTGAAATTCAGATCCAAAAACAAAAACCCATAAAGGAAAAATTAAAAAGTTTTGAACTTTTTTTGTTATTTAATGGATTTAATGAGTTGTTCCATGTGAGAGAAACGACAGAAATGGAATTTTTTTAATGTGAAAAAACAGAGAAAATGGACCAACGATTTCAATGGAGGCGTGTTCCTTAATTTCTGCTAAAAAAGATGAAAGAAAATGAGAGGTAATTACCCAGTAAGGGACGCCATAGAGTTTGAAGATTTGGGTTGGACCAAAAACGAAGGACAAATAGACGAGAAGAACAGCCATTATTGTCCAACATGAGGTTGAAATCACTATGTCTTTTCGTTCATTTGGAGCGAATATATCGCTGTATGGATTGAAATGAGATCCCTCTTTTCCTGGGCTTCTCCACATCTGAGAAACAAAAATTATGAACATTCGATCCAGTTTTGAAGATCAAATCGAATGGAAAAATGGATATGAGAGCATTACCAGGTAAAATGGGTATGCGAAAATGGGGAAAGGTAAACTGAATCTGAGGATTCGTGTTCTTCTCTCCAGTTGCTTGTATGTCTTCTTCGTTAACTGAGAAAAAAACAGAGGAAAAAACGCCATTGAAATGGGTGAAAAAGATTCAGAAAAAACAGAGGACAAAACGCCATTGAAATGGGTGGAAAAGCTTGCGAAAGAAAGAACAGGGGAAAACAGAGGATTCGACAAATCCGAGGAACGTACTGGAACCCAGGATTCGTCTTTCTCGACATTTCCATGGTTTTGATGGTGGGTTCTATGGCTTATTCTCCTGTGGAAAGAAATCGAATCGATTTAGTTTCAAATACCCACAAAAAACACAAAAAAACAGAGAAAAACAGAGACTGTCTGGTTTGAATGTCGGAAAAACAGAGCAAGAACGATCTGGGGATTTTGAGAGGAAAAAAAGTACCATCCATGATAAGGAACCAAAATGGCGGAATGAAGAATAAGACCCATGAAGCTATTAAGCGCAGTACTGTTGGAGAAGCTCCCATGGCCGCTATGGAACAAAAAAACCAGAGACATCAGAAACAGAGAAAATAACCCAAAAATAAAACAGTAGAAGAAGACAAGATCGAAGAGAAACCAGTCATGGCCGAGGACAAAAATGGCCCAAAACATGGTGCCCTGAGCGATCCAGTAAATCGGCCAGACGAGCCAGGAATCAAAGTAGGCGGCGGCGGCAACCAATGCAGAGATAATGACGAAATCCCGAAGAACATAAAGGAGAGAACGCCAAGGGTTCTTAACCCAGCAATGAGGAGGAATGGCAGCACGGATCTCGGAAATACGAAAAGGGGGAGGAGCAGAAGGGTCAAAAGGGTGTGGCGCCGCCGTGCCGTTGGCGTGAACGGTGTCGTTGCCGGGTCGGGAGGCCGGCAAGGGAATGGCCATAATGGGGTCGCCGGAGAAAAACAGGGGTTGTTAGGGAAAGGAGAGGAGAGGAGAGAAGGGCAAATGAAGATTGAAGCAAGGAAGTGATTAAAAAGGAATGGGAATTGGTCTCTTCTCCCTCACGGAAGATCGGGGAAACGGGCCCCAACAAAAATGCTTAGTTTAGTTTAGATTAGTGTGTTTAAATTTTAAACGTCACAATGTAATTTATTTATTATATATTTTCAAAATTAAATTTCTACACTCCACCCTATAATCCAACTCCTTGACCTAAATCATAAACGTTAGGTTCAGAGTGTGTATATTTAGATTACTCAATTCAGACTCTAATAAAGTCACGTCTTAAAATTAATATGAAGATTAAGAACATTTAAATTTATAATTTATAATCGATAAATTTTTGTATGGTTCTCCTCGTCAAACAAATGCACACCGATCATTCAAATTAAAAAAAATTAAAAAAATGTGAATGCACATCAAAATTGACACTTTGATTTTGAAATCAAAGGCTTACACGTTCCTGTCAATTTCACCAATAAAAGTTACATACATTTTATTCCAAAATATATATATATATATATTAAATTCACAAATTTCAATGCACAAAAAATGACGTGGCATTTTTTTTGTGGAAGGTCCACACGTGCGGGCCCATAGCAATTCATTTTAAGTCAGTTAGAGGAAGAACTTTCCAATTTACCTTAAAAATATTTTAAACTTAAAAAAAATAATAATAATATTTTTAAACTTTTAAAAAATTCTAAAAAATAATTAAAAAGTACTTTTGTGGTTATTTTTTAAAAAATGTTTAAAAAATAACGTAAAGTTTTCAAAATACCCTTAATTTTTTTTTTTACCATAATTAAAAATACATTTACTATTAGTATCGAATTTCAAAAATATTCCTAAACGTAACATTAAAACATTAGTAAATAATCAATGAAATTTCGATATATAATTTTTAAAACGTTGAATTTTTCAGATTATTTTTTAAAGTTTAAGAGTATTATTAAATTTTTTATTTTCCAAAAATTCAACCCAACAAAAGAAAATCTAATCGTTGGATTGAATTGGGTTGTTTCGGGTTGGTCGGATTCTCAAGTTATATGAATATCGTGCCTCCAAGTTATCACTTTTGTTCATTTATATTAAATTTCTATTTATTAATCGTCACTAATTTTGAATCATTATTACAATTATTTAAGAAAATTATGTATTATTTAAATTAGTTAATGTAAAAATATAACATTTTAAGACGTAGGGACGAAATGAAAAATATGCTCAAAACTTTTGGGACTAAAAAAATATTCAAAAAAATAAAAATAAAACTCATTAGAAAATTTAACAATCTGCCTGTTTTAACTAAACCGAATTTTAAGTTCTAAAAATTCAACTCATACGCTACAAATTGTCACATTGATAGAAATTGAGTGGATGAAGATATGTAAAATAAAAACAATTTACACCTTTACATAAAACCGAGATAAACAAAAATCGAGATAAGGACAATGTTTTCGTTATTCTCTTAGCACTAAATTATGGGTCATGACGTGAGTCTATTGAAGAGTCGTATTTTATCAAATATAAGCGTACACGATTTAGTAACGTGTCGATGCATAGATACAGACATGCAGATGTATCATATCGAGTAGTATATAATCATTCTTTGATTTTTCCTATAATTTTTAGTTTTCTAATAAAAATAATCCAAACAAGAAATGAATTCGTAGATAGTTTTAGTTTTTTTTTCCCCCTTAAATTATGAATTTATTTACCGGCTCAGGGTTGTGCGCATGTTAGAGGTGTGTGAAGTCCCTATTTTCTGCCCATTCGATGCCTGTTTGTTAGTTTTTCGTCCTGATTTGTATACTAACCTTATTATAATGCGAATTAGGTCTCCACAGAGAAAATTCATATTTTTTGGACACCTCATTGGCTAAAAATCGTACTTAGGAAGACACGCAACATACTAGTACGCAACCACTCGAACTTCTAGGAAATAATGCTTGTAGGGATCGCTTGGATTTGTATGCATGTTAGTAAAATCTGTTAGGTTATGGAGCCTGATGCTTATTTATAGCTTGGTCAACGGCTATATTTGTAAAGCTATATCCGATAAAGCTATATATGGTAAATAGCTATATATGGTAGATGTTAAATCTGGTAAAGCTATATATAGTAAACTGAACTATATATATATTCCGTCCGGTAGAGCTTTGAAAATGTACTTTTCTATTCTCTGTACTCTCTCTTGTTATACATACTTGAAGTCATCAATAAAAAAAAATCCTTTTAGCCAGAGTTCTCCTTGCAATTTTATCTATCTCATTCTTTGTGTTCATCTAGATCGAGTGTGTGTGTTGTTGTGTGATCCTAACAACTGGTATCGATCCTAACAACTAGTATCAGAGCTAACGACTGGTATCGATCCTAACGACTGGTATCAGAGCTAACGACTGGTATCGATCCTAACAACTAGTATCAGAGCCAGGCGGAAGTCAGAGCCAAGCGGAAGTCAGAGCCAGCGGAAGTCAGAGCTAGGCGAAATTTACCACGATCTGTGAAGATGAAAAGTTTAAAGATTGGAATTGAGAAGTTCGATGGATCCGATTTCGGTTTCTGGAAGATGCAGATTGAAGATTATCTGTACCAGAAAGATCTTCACGAACCTCTGTTGGGGGTGAAGCATGATACCATGACCACAGAACAATGGAAGCTCAAGGATCGACAAGCCTTGGGGCTGATCCGGTTGACGCTATCCAGAAACGTGACGTTCAACATTATCAAGGAGAAGACAACGTCAGGTCTATTGAAGACGCTGTCGAATATGTATGAAAAACCGTCGGCTATGAACAAGGTGTATTTGATGCGGAGATTGTTATGAGTCCTTGTGAGAACTGCGTTACGAGCAAACAAAAACGAGTTAGCTTCACAAAGACTGTTAGAGAATTGAAGAAAAGTACCGGAAGCGTCGCTGAAACTCCAGAGGGGGTTGCGTTGGCCGGAAGCGTCGCTGAAACTCTAGAGGGGGTTGCGTCGGCCGGAAGGAGCGTCGCTGGAACTCCAGAAGGGGTTGCGTCGACCGGAAGCGTCGCTGAAACTCCAGAGGGGGTTGCGTTGGCCGGAAGGAGCGTCGCTGAAACTCCAGAGGGTGTTGCGTCGGCCGGAAGCGTTGCTGAAACTCCAGAGGGGGTTGCGTTGGCTGGAAGGAGCGTCGCTGAAACTCCAGAGGGGGTTGCGTCGGCCGGAAGGAGCGTCGCTGAAACTCCAAAGGGGGTTGCGTCGACCGGAAGGAGCGTCGCTGAAACTCCAGAGGGGATTGCATCGGCCAGAAGGAGCGTCGCTGAAACTCCAGAGGGGGTTGCGTCGACCGGAAGCGTCGCTGAAACTCTAGAGGGGGTTGTGTCGGCCGGAAGCGTCGCTGAAACTCTAGAGGGGGTTGCGTCGGCTGGAAGCGTCGCTGAAACTCCAGAGGGGGTTGCGTCGGCCGGAAGGAGCATCGCTAAAACTCTAGAGGGGGTTGCGTCGGCCAGAAGCGTCGCTAAAACTCTAGAGGGGGTTGCGTCGTTGAAACTCCAGAGGAAGTTGCGTCGGCCGGAAGCGTCGCTGAAACTCCAGAGGAAGTTGCGTCGGTCGGAAGCGTCGCTGAAACTCCAAAGGGGGTTGCGTCGGCCGGAAGCGTCGCTGAAACTCCAGAGGAAGTTGCGTCGGCCAGAAGCGTCGCTGAAACTTCAGAGGGGGTTGCGTCGTCCGGAAGCGTCGCTGAAACTCCAGAGGGGGTTGCGTCGGCCGGAAGCGTTGCTGAAACTCCAGAGGGAGTTGCGTTGGCCGGAAGCGTCGCTGAAACTCCAGAGGTGAAGCAAGTGGGAGTTGAAGCAAGGGGGAGGTTGAGTTGCTGAAGCAAGTGGGAGTTGAAGCAAGCGGATACTCAAGAAACTCCTGAGACTCTTGCTGAGAAACTAGAGGTGAAGCAAGTGGGAGTTGAGGTTGAGTTGCTGAAAGATTCACATAGTGATGTTGTAGCGGATACTCAAGAAACTCCTGAGACTCCTGCTGAGAAACCAGAGGTGAAGCAAGTGGGAGTTGAGGTTGAGTTGCTGAAAGATTCACATAGTGATGTTGTAGCAGATACTCAAGAAACTCCTGAGACTCATGTTGTTGGCGAGGAACCCTGTCTATCATTCAAAACACAGAAGCCGATACCATTTCACTCGGAGGTTAGTTGAAGATGGTGATGTGTTTGGAGAAGATAGAGGGTGCAAAGAATCCAGCAAACATGTTGACAAAATGTGTTGATGTTGGAATATTGAAGTTGTGCAAAACCTCAATTGGTATGGTGCAGTGAAGATGCTCATGGTCGTTTGAGAGTGAAATTCTTGGTTGACTAGATCAGTCTCGAAGTGGGAGAATTGTTAGGTTATGGAGCCTTATGCTTATTTATAGCTTGGTCAACTGTTATATCCGGTAAATCTATATTTGGTAAAGCTATATCCGGTAAAGTTATATATGGTAAATAACTATATATAGTAGATGGTTAAATCGGGTAAAGCTATATATAGTAAATAGCTATATATAGTATATATTAAATCTGGTAAAGCTATATATAGTAAACTGAACTATATATATATCCGGTCCGGTAGAGCTTTGAAAATGTACTTTTCTATTCTCTGTACTCTCTTGTTGTACATACCTGAAGTCATCAATATAAAAAAAATAAAAAAAAAATAAAAAAATAAAAAAATCCTTTTAGCTAGAGTTCTCCTTGCAATTTTCTCTATCTCATTCTTTGTGTTCATCTAGATCGAGTGTGTGCGTTGTTGTGCGATCCTAACAACTGGTATCGATCCTAACAACTAGTATCAGAGCTAACGACTTGTATCGATCTTAACAAAACCAACCTTAAGGCTAGATCGTTATGACCTGTACCTAAGAATATTGGATGATTGCATGATTATTTGTATCGTTTTATACTACTTGTACACTATTATGGTGGATTGGAGGATAAGATTTTATGTATTTGCCCTCCGAGTGCTTGATGGATGTCATCGCCCTGTTGAGCATGTATACATTTGCTTGCA